GTCTGTGAAGGCAGAAGTTTGGTGGTTCCTTTTTTTTCACCAGTACCCAAGGGCCTGGAAAAGTCCCTTGCATGTAGTAATAGTAAGAGCCAACCTATCAATGGTGTTATTGATCTCAGGTACTTTTTGAACACTTAAGCATCATAGTAGTCCCCCTGGTCTGTGGGGGGATGCCTGAAACCTCGGGTGGTACCAAATGTATATACTATGTTTTCTCCTATCCATACATACCTGTGATAAAGTTTAATTTATAAATTAGGTACAATAAGAACTTAACAACAACTAATAATAAAATAGAACGGTTACAACAATATACTGTAATCCAGGTTATGAGACTGTGCTCTCTCTCCCGGTATCTTATTGTCCCACGCTCACCCCTCTTGTGATGCTGACAGATAAAATGCCCGCGTGAGGAGATGCAGTAGGGGAATGATGGAAGTGCTGTAACATAGCGTTCGGCCGCTGCCGGCCCTCTGACGATTTGTCAGGAGGAGGATCATGTACTTTGAGACCACCATTGACACAGGGAGCTGAAACTGCAGAAAGCGAAACTGCAAAGGGGTTGGGGGTGGGGGAGCAGTTCTGAACCCTTAGGCTTTTCTGCTTCTCCGCAAGTATTTTGTTGAATGAATGAATGAGCGGATGGGTGAGAGGAGGAGACGAGGCAGGTGAGCATTGACATATTCGCTCTCGCCTCTGTCCTCCCGTGAACACCTAGTCAGGCCGGCACCCAGACGTGAGAAGAGGCTTATGACTGGGGCTGCTGGTTCAGTGGTGCCGTGCGAGTAGCTGGACAAAGAGATGGCTTTCATGGGTCAGTTGTCCATACCTCATCCAGGCAGTTCGGCATGTTCCCTCTGGACCTGGGAGCAAATAAGGGTCTACCTTGGAATATTATCTTTACCATGTCTAGGTGCCTCCTTAGGAGTCACCTCGTTTTATCTCACCGGAATTCTATAAGGACTGAAGGACCTTTGTAGATGAAAAAGCAGAGAGCTTGAAGGCCATCTGTGGGCGTCCCCTGCCTGGAGGCCAGAATCGCATCCCTCAGCCCCACACTCCCTTCCGCCCCACCTGGCGTCATGCTTACCAGGACACCTTCAGGCTCTCCAGATGGTTCACCAAGCCTTAAAAAGGTCTTCCTGCTATTTGCGCTATTTCTTACCCTACTGGCCCCCAAAACAGACTCCTGAGAGGATGCCAGACCAGCCCGCGGTGATCCATGAGCCAGGGTGCTTGGGGCCCAAAAGCTCATGTGAAAGTGAGCTCATAAGCCTGACTGCTGAAGGGAACCTCGAACAGCTCGGCTGTAGTGGTTGACTAAGAAGCCAGCGGGGCAGCTCCGCCTGCAGAAGGCACGTCCCTCCGTGCAGACCCCACAGCGCCCTTCTGCACATGAGGTGCTGGGCTCCATTTATCCAGGGCTGCCCGGCCTCTGCCGGTGCCGACACCGCAGTGCCTCAAGCCCCATGCAGGGCAGAGGCAACCCCTCCATGGACGGGCGAGAGCAAGGAGCCGAGCATCCATGGAGCACCTGATGCTGACCGGCCTTCGGTCGGTTCCGTCAGCTCAAATCCGGGCCTTCCAACTTGAAGCACTTTCCCTGGTCTAACACAGCAGAACCTTTCTCCACACAGGCTGAGAATGAATGAGAAGCCGTTTCTTAAGGGTCCGCCAGACTGCACAGCTGTACCCTCAGCTCTAACTGCCTGTAGGTGTCGTCTGAGAAGAGACATTCTGTGTTTTCTTACAAGCTGTAAAAGCCAGAATTGGCTGTCGTGGGTTTCCGGGTCCCCAGCCTCATCCAGGGGTGGGCCGCGCTGAGTCCTAGAAATAAGGAGAAAAATCCTCACGTGGTCTCTAGTGATGTACAGTGTAATCTGATTTGGTTTCCTGGATGTCTGCCCGTTCTGTACGCTCACACATAGGCTTTGGCATTGCATTTAAAATCTCCTTATGATAATACTCAAAGGCTATAGATGTTCTCAGATTGCTTCTAAAGAAGTAGAAGCCAAGTTGCTTGCATTAGACAGCCAGAGAAACAAACTGAAAAGCAACAGTTAATCTTTTCCCAGTATCTGTGCACCCGCTCAGCTCTAATCAATAACTCCACTGATCATGATGTGTTTTCCTTCTTCCTGTTTGGTGACAGCCATCCTCATGGGATGGACAGAGCACCAAAAGGCAGCCAGTAAGCTTCCCTATGCTGTCAGGTAAGAGAGCGACAGCAACCAATGAACACCGTGACCCTGTTCGGGGTGCTGTGGGTCATGCCGTCACCCTTAGTAACAGCACCCAGCCCAGGATTACTGTGCCGCCCTGGCTTAGCAAGTACACACTGGTGCTCAAGATCGCCATGAATCGGGCACCTGGGTGGCTCAGTCGGTTAAGCGGCTGCCTTCAGCTCCGGTCATGATCCCACGGTTCTGAGATTGAGTCCCGCATCGGGCTCCCTGCTCAGCGGGGAGCCTGCTTCTCCCTCTGCCCTTTGCCCTGCTTGTGCTCTTCGCTCACTCGCTCGCTCTCAAATAAATAAATAAAATCTTTAAAAAAAAAAAAAAAAAGATCGTCATGAATCTGAGGAGTCAGATAGGGTCTTCCCGCCCCGTTCCTGGTCTGTGGTGGCATCCAGGGCTGTGGAGCCACTCTGCTCGACCTCCTGCCATGCATCACTTCCAGAAGGTTAGGCTGGGTCCTCATGTGTCTGAATAATCCAGTGTATTTCTGTCATCTCTGCATTGCTAGGCTATGCGGAATCTTCTGTTTTCAGCTTCTGTGAATCCACGTTCAGGGTGTCTCAAACATGCAGTGAAGGGTTTTCTGTTTGTTAGCCACCAAACTCAGGCTCTCAAGGAGTCTAGTCCCCTCACGATAGAGTCGTGTCATGTGGAGGAGCAGAGCGGGTTTGCCTTACTTGCTGGGTCCCCATCATTGATTGGAGGAGACTAGAATGGAACCCAGCACTGAGTACTCACTACCCACCAGTCGCCTTTCTCAGCACGTAACAGCATCACCTCCTTCAGGAAGGAGAGAGGGCGAATCAGAAGCCTTAGGAAGTCATCAGTATCTTCGTTTTCCTAATGAGGCAGGATGGACAGCCGGCTGCCTACAGAGCCTGGGGAGCATTCCCTTTGCTCTTCTTTGTTTTCTTTTACTCACTAAAAGTAATACAAGCACAAATTTAAAAAAACAAAAATGCACGCAATACAAAAGCGCCCTCCTGGATGCAGCTCTGGCCTGCTTTCTGGGGCTGCACCCACTTCATTGCTAAGGGCCCGGGCAGTGGCAGGCACCGCCTTCAACTCTAGGCCCACTTGCAGTGCTCCACGTGACCAGCCGGGGATGGGGGGAATGAAACATTTCCTCTGCGGGTGTTCGTTCCGGGAGCCCAGAACCCTGAGATTACAAATCCACTCCTCATCTGCACAGAGCAAGGAAAGGAAACATGAGAAAAAACAAACTATTTCAGAAGGACATTGATTGGAAAGTGAATTTCTTTACCATTCCAGACCATGTTCCTTCGTTCCCTTCTCAGTGGCCCCCATGCCAGCCAGATAGATTCTCGTAGGAGCATATGCACGTTTATAAGCACCTTTCCAGCTTCTCCCCCTGTGCTTGACATAAATGGAAACGCACTCTACAGCATCCTTCACTCTGCTGCTTTCAGCCCTCAGGATGTCCTGAAGAGGTTTCCATGTCAGCATATGGAAATCTGTTACATTTTGGAGTATTGTTTGTGTTTAAACAGTTAGTGAAATATTTCAGATTATTTCAGACCTCTTGCATCTCCTCTAACAATGCTGCTGTGATGTCCTGTGTAGGTTTCTTTCGACCCTGTGTGTCCACATATGTCTGTAGGGTGAATTCCTACTGGTGGAAATCAGAGCCCGGAATCCTGAACAGCTTTGAACACCCCTGAGGGCTCGCCCACCCCCAAAACAGTGAGGCAGGCCTGGCTCTCCAGGTCCCCCGCACAGATAGCACCTTTTGCAGCTGGGGCAGCCCAGCGACTCCAGAAGCTGTCTAGGATTCCAGATCCAGTGTTTAAGCCGAGCAAGATCCGGGGGCCGCCGGTGCATGAGTTCCCACTGCTGGGACCTGCTCAGGGTACAGCCGGAGTGAAAGCCTGGGGTTGCAGGTCGGAGAGCTCCCTCCTCATCGGCCCCTTCTCCAGCCCCACTGGGTCTGTGTGCTCATCACCCGGGCTGCCCGTTGGCTGAGCCACACAGGTCGCTTCCTGGCCCACGCGCATCATGCCCCTCTGCCCACCCCGGGTCTTCCTTAGACACACTAGCTTCCAAGTGACTGGCCCTGCCCCATTCTAGGCACCCCCGCAGCTGCTGGGCTGTGGGCGCCTCTCTCTGCCAGGTTACTTCACTTCCTATCACACGTCCCAGGCTGTTTCCATAGCTGTTGAATTTGTGCAGTTACAACTGTTTTCAACTCCCAAGCCCTGAGCCCCCACCAAGGCCCCGGCCCCATGGCAGGCTCCATCTGCGGTGTCCGTGGACTCCTCCACTTTATGAAGTCAGAACTAGCACTCACCAGTGTCCTGCTAGGTAACTGCCACATTAGGTAGGTGCTGAAAAAGCCTTCGGAATTAGAGCGAAGAATAGAACAGCTGGGGAAGGTGGGCCCAGAGATGGACCTTCGGGGGTGGAGGCTTCAGATAGCGAGACTGAAGGTGCCGGTAATGAACAGCCACCGTTCCTGGCAGGCATGGTGCTATACACATGTTACTGTCATCCTCAAGCCCTGTGTGGACGATACTCTTGTCCCCCTGTTGTGGACGAGGTAGCCGCTGGGCACAGAGAGGCGAAGACCTGGCCAAAGGACACGTTCCAGAGGAGCCCAGTTCCCACCAAGCCTGTCCACCTCCCACCTCCTGGCCTTCCCTGCTCTCACCGTGGGCTGCCTCACCTTGTCTGGGCCACTGGGCAGACCAGGGATCCCCGCCTGAGTCCCTGCTCCCTTGACTGATGGCTTCCTTGTCATTGTAGGACTTCTGCCACGGGCAAGTGATGTGGCCGCCCCTCAGCGCCCTGCAGGTGAAGCTTGCTGAGGCCGGCCAGTCCTGCAAGCAGGTGTGCCAGGAGAACCAGCTCATCTGTGAGCCTTCTTTCTTCCAGCACCTCAACAAGGACAAAGACATGCTCAAGTAAGTGCTGGGGGTCGGGAGGGCCGGACCAGCCTCCAGCACACCTCTGGGTCAGAGCTGGGCTGAGAGGGACAAGGCCTGGGGAGCAGGTTGCAGCATGGTCCCTCCCCACCACTGCCCCACTCCCCCAGAAAGTTAGACCAGCAGTTTGGTTGTTAGGTAGATGAGATCACCCTGGCATGCTGATAGATTTAGAATTCGAATGGGGTTGTTGTATTTGCAGAAATAAGGCCATGTTTGGGATCGGAGATGGTGGGAAGGGTTTGGTTTGTTCATGTCATACCCAGGAACTGTGGGAGTGGAGATGGGCATAGAAGCACAAGCCTGGGGGGCCCCACCCCTGGGCTCCCCTGGCAGAAGCCAGGTCTTCTGGATGGCTTGAGGGCTTCCCCTCATGCCTGCATGACTTGTAGTGCTCCCGTGTGTTTCTCTTGGCATTGGCAGACCCCAAATTTCTACATGAGGTTTCTTCCGGCCTCTGACTCGTGCCCACTGTCAGTGCTAAGTCTGTGCTCCCCGTTTTTATTACACCCACCCTGGGCCTCCTCTGACTTAATTACCGAGCCCCACCCCCTGAATAGCTCTGGTTAAGAGACGTGCTGTCCCAGCCCTAGATATTCAGCAGAGCAGTGCTATTGTCCAGTCCTGACGAGGAGATTTAAGAAACGCAGTGCGCTCGCTGCTCATGGCTTGCCTCTCTCCCGTTCCGGCTTTGTGCCCCGTTACGCGGTTGGCCTCTGGTCGTCCGTGCCCAGAGCGCGGAGCGGGCCTTGTCCTGTATCTTCTTCTTCTCAAGCATGCTATAAAACCCTTCTTACAGAGCGTGGCCTCTCGCATCTCGCCTGCGGGAAAGCTTCCCTGAGTCGGGGTGTAGAGGATGCTGGTTTTTCCCATTCTTTTTATGTGAAGACCAAGCTCAGAGGCCACCTTGATTCCACTATCAAAGCCCAGAAGAGAGTCAGTGTGGTGCCCTCCTCCATCACCAGTGAAACTTCGTGAGAAGGGGGGGTGGTCTGATATGTAAGGAAAGATGGTACTAGAAGCTTCTGTCTCCATAGCACATATCCTGAATTCTGGGGTCCCGGGAGGGGCTTCCTACTGGCTCCTTTGGCAGACAACTTCTGTAGCAAGGTAGCGTTTTGAGAACCCTGAATATCTCTCTCTCTCTGTTTATCTGGAAATCTGGATTCGCTGGGGGTAGACTAGGGACAGTGCACACAGAGCTGTCTCCATGCAGTCCCCGTCTCCACCTCTGGAGGAGGACACATGAGAAGCTGCGTCCCAGGAACGGAAGCCAACTGGGACTCCTCTACAGCCTGGCCCTCCTTCCCAGCCAGGCACAAGTCAGGGCTCCTGCCCAGATCCGATGATCAGGGCCTGATTCAGACAGCACAGGGCCCCCACACAGCCAGCCTGTCTCTGGAGCAAATGTGTAGGTCCAGTGGAGGGACAGAAAGGGGAGCCAGTGTGTTAGTGTCCTCTGTTGCATCCATTTTCTCCCCTGTAAGATGGGGGCAACCCGTGTGATGATGAGATAATGTGCAGCTGGTGCCCAAGACAGAGAAGAACGACCCCTTCATCCAGAGAGCCTTGGGCCGTGGAGCAGGCTTGAGGCTGCCAGGCTGAGACCAGAAAAGCCAGTCCCCTCCCCCAGCCTCCCTGTCCACCTCCTCATACCCTCCAGAGCCCGTGAGGGCAGAAGACCTCGTGGGGCTGTCCCGTAGCCCAGACCCTGTGCCCTGGGATTGCTTCACAACCCTCTCCCAAAGCCCATGGTAGCTATGTGGGTTTTCTCCCAAGGAGGCAGCAATGAATGCTAATTCTGTAATAAAGCTGTCTGAAATTAATTCCCTGAATGTAAGAGCCCTATTGAATACCTTGTTCCTGCATTTGTAAATACCGATAATGTGGTAAAGCCCCGGCTAGCTGGTGGTCTATTGAGTGCCTCCTCAGTATGAGGCAGTCCTGGCTTATCCATATTCATGGCCAGTTAGTGAAGTGAGTAGCTCCTACAGGCCCATGCTACTTCTTCTTCTCCACCTGGGAGCCTGGTTCTCAGCTTAAGCTCCTTTTGGTCTTTGGGTGCCCATGACCTTGAAGAACCATTGAAGAACCTTGAAGAACTAACAGTCTATCCCCGCTGTGTAGTAGGAATTTATATCACATAGATCAGGCCCTTTGGAGTGTCCTATGCTGTCATCTCGAATCAGGGGCAATCAGGCAGTTGGTTGTGGAGTTCCCGTTCATGCAGGGCATGGTGTAAGTGCCGGAGAGGTGCCCACAAACTCTCATGCACAGAACATTCATGATTCAGATGTGCTGCCACAGACCGGGGGGCGAGGTTCCAGAGGCAGAGGCCCCGGGAAAAGCCAGAGTCCAAGCTGGGGTGGCCCTTAGGGAGGACCTTGGCTCCATAAGTAGGAACATGTGTTCATGTGACACCTTATTTGTAATTCTGCTACTTTTTCAAGTTACAGCTTCTAAAATGTTAAATGATTGAGTCTGGCATTTCTTTTTGAAGATGGGCAGTTCTAAACCATGAAGTCTAGACCACGAGCACTCTGGCACCTGAGTCAGAGAAGTCACGAGTGAGTTTGGGGGACTTGGTGGAGTCAGGGTTGGAATAAGCAGGGCAGGAGCTGAGGGGGAGGGGAGGAGTTCAGGGGCAGGGAAGAGGCGAGGAGTAAGACCAGTAGGTGGGGTCCTGCTTGCATCCCTTCATCCTGGGTCTGTCTGTCGGGAAGGATGAGTTGTTTCTATCCTCTCAAGACGTAGGCAGCCCCATGGGAAGGTGGGGCTTCGGCTTTTTATTCTTGGTCAGGAGCTATAATGTAAACCAAGGGCCAGTGGGCCTCAGAAGCCCCCTCCCATCCTGTAAGAGGCCGGCTGGGGAGAGGTCAGCACCACGGGGCCCTACAGAAAGGAAGCAGCCGTGTGCTAGGGGTCTCTGAGCGGGAGTGAGAGAGTATGTGCGGCGGAGTGAGTGTGTCTGTGTCTCTGTGAGACAGACAGACAGATATCACAGAACAGGGAAGCACAAGCAACAACATATAGGCTCTGAAAAAGCCAGGGATCCAGCAGTGGGGAGTGAGGAGGCTGGCTTCCAGATGCACTCCAGCAGTTGGCGAACGTCACCTCCCCTCTCTGGCTTCGGCCCGAGGGTGGTGGAGTGCTCTGTCTGACTGCCCAGGGCTGAGGAGCGCTCCCTGGGGGCCTGACGGTCGGATGGCCTCCACAAGTGTCTGGAGCCGTATGTGCCCATAGCCCCCTGTCAGCTGCACCTTCGGGGAGCTGCCCCATGACAGATCACGTGTCGTGCTGGGGACTACCTGCTACCTGAGCTCTTCGTGGCAGGTCTCCGGACATCATCCCTGGGCACGCTTCTTCCGTGGCGGCCTCTGTTGAGATGTGTTCACAGACACGTGCACACGTGTGCGCACTCCCAGGAGCACAGGCCTGGGGTCTGAGCTGGGTGACCAGGGGCAGAAGCAGGAGGGTTTCTTCATGGCTCCTGTCAGTCAGACCCCTGCCATGGGGTCTGAGAGTTGGAGAGCTCTCCACACCCCTGGTTAGCAGTGCAAGGGAGCTGGCTTGAGTTAAGACATAGGAGCTGCTCTGAGTCACCTAAGCAAAGAAATAACCTAAGCGTAACTCTGTATTCTAAAGCTCTGTTCTGTATGGAAACCTGTAATGCACAGCTGAGTTCTGGAGGACCCTTTCTGGGGGTAGGCCAGTGGCAGTATCCTGCAGAGGACCTGGTAGCCCCAGATCTCTGATTCACTCTTTTTTTAAGGAAATCCATAAATCCGCACTTCCTGCCCTTGTTTTCATGGTCCGTGACCTTCACGGTCTGGGTGCTATGTCTCCCAGCCGGCACACCTCAACCAGAGGTGTTAGGGCGTTTAGAAAGGTCGCAGAACTCTCTGGTGACTGCAGGAGCAGCCTACAAGGGGGTGCTGCCCCCCCCACCCCCCGAGCACTAGGAGCCAGGCAGGCAGGCTCAGAGAAGCCCCAGCAGATGTGCCGGGAATTGTCCAGTTCCGTTGGCAAGGGCAGGTGCGGGCCAGGCGGCTCGTTGGCTGGAGGAAGACAAGAGGGGGCAGGAGAACCGGGGAGGAGGCTGCTTCCCCCCGCCGCCCCAGCGTTTGGAAGCGTCCCAGAGGCAGCAGGAGACCTTGAGTGCCCCTCGGGGTCCCCACCCTGTCCGCAAGAATGCAGATTTCTGGGCACAAAGCAAAGTGGAACTGGTTGGCATGTGTGTGCACCCACAGCACGGGGCAGGGGAGGGAGGCGGCAGAGCCCGTCCCGTGGACATGGGATGCCGGGCCAGGCTGACCGCAGTGACGATGACAACAGCTGTGGCAATGGTGATAGTTACCGTTTATCGAATACTTACCCCGAGCTACACTCGGCCAAGTGCTCTAGGAGCACTGATTTCCGCAGCTCCCCCGTGAGTTAAGGCTTATTTGTCCCCACTCTACAGAAGAGGAAACTGAAGCAGAGAGAGGCTCATGGAGATGAAGTCGGGACCCCAGCTCAGGGCCGCCCGGCCCCCCTCACACCCTCTGCTCTGAACTGGTCCCCGGCTGGCACGTTAAGACTCTGTGCTAGACAGCTGCTGAGGCCTCCTTGCTCTCGGGGCCACGGGGTGGCTGGGCCCAATGCCCCCCAGGCCAGAGGAGAAAGGATGCAGCTCTTCTCTGAGATAGAGGAGACACAGGCCTGCCACTGCTGACTCCCCCTGGCCCCGCAGGCAGTGGCCCTAGCCTGAGGAGGCAAAGCCACAAGGGTTTGGGTCTCAGCTGTGGGGCGAAGACGGTGGAGGAGCCGGAGCCCCGGTTTGCAGTCCTGCCCTGCATGTCCCGAAGCCTCAGGCGCTTGCCTCTCAGGCAGGGGGCAGGAGGGAGCCTACTATGGCCACGGACCGAGGTGACTGCAGCAGTCCAGGGAAGTGATGGCCCGGGACACCCCCCCACCCCCCACAGGAGACCATCTGATGGCTTTCCAGCCGGAGACTAAGGCCATGTCACATGGATCCTTTTAAACCACCAATAAAAATATTAAACAGAATTTTTCAAAATACTTAAATGACACACGCCTTTGCCCCCGTTCTCGCTCCTCTGAAGTAACCGTTAAGACTATGGGGTGTAGCCCTCTCGTCCTGAGGCGCACATGCGCGCAGGTCGATCCCGCTCTGCATCTCCTTCCGCTACTTGCCTTCCTCAAGGACAGCTCTCCACGCTGGTTCTTGCATTTCTGCCTCATTCTCTCTCAAGGGCTGCAGAGACCTCCGAAAGCACAGATGTGCTACAAACTCTTCAGCCCTTCCCCACTTGGTGAGTATTCGGATTATTGCCATTTTTTTCTCCCTTACAGACAGTGCTTCGGTGGGCAGCCTCGAACACACATTCCCACACACACACACCTTTCTCGAGCCCGGATTCCTGGTGGTGGGGAATTGCTAGGTCAGAGGGAGGCTGCCATTTCCTTTTTACGACAGGTGAACCAAACGTGCACCCCACACCTCAGGAGGGGGGCCCAAGGAGCCAGTGACAAGGACTGTCCCTGCCTCTCTAAGCCTCGTGCCTTTGTCTTCCCCTTCAGGTACGAGGTGATCTGCCAAAGCTCAGAGCTGGCCAAGGACATCCTGGTGCCCTCCTTCGACCCCAAGAACAGGCACTGCGTGTTTCAAGGTGACCTCCTGCTGTTCAGCTGTGCGGGCGCCCACCCCCGGCACCAGAGGATCTGCCCCTGCCGGGACTTCATCAAGGGCCAGGTGGCTCTCTGTAAAGACTGTCTATAGCAGCCCCTGGCCCGGCCCCACACTCACTCTGTGGGACTAACAGTGGCTCCGACCCCACTGGGACAGGGCCAGGGGGCAGACGCCATGTCAGGCAGGGACTCTCGCCAGAGCCTGAACTCGATGCTGGAAGGTTTCGATTTGGTATTGCTCCTTCTGGCTTCTCCCTGGCACAACTTCGTTTTAATTTCTTGAGGAGACTGTGTCACTGCAGCTGCTCCAAGGTAGAAAGAGTCTCAAGATTCATTTAAAACAGAACCAGAGGAGGAATGGAGCTTGTCAGAAAGAACTTTCTACGGGAACATTCCTAAACCCATTAACTTATTTATTTGGGAGGGAGGGAGGGGGAACAGGGGAGGGCCCAGAGGGACTGATCACACGTCTTGCTTCTCTGATTTCCCACTGTTTACTGTCCACCTTCACTGTATTATTACTCCTGTCTCCTTCCGGAAGGAAGCAGGAGGGAGACAGGGTGCACTGTGGGGCCGGTGGCTCGCTTGAGGGCAGCCGCAGGGACCCAGCTCCTCAAAGTGGGTGGTGGCAGAACACAAGAAAATCTTGTGTGTGCTTGACAGATGGCAGCTAGAGGACAGGCACCTCCTGGGCATGGGGGGACATGCCTGTGGTGTTGTCCTGAGAGCCCAGCCAGGGACCAAAGATGGGGCCGCTTTGCAGTGAGAGCTCCTTTCCTCGACCCTCCCCCCCGCCCCCCATCACATGCATGCACCCACACACCTTGGCCCTAATTTCTGATGAGGATGGCTTTAAGAAAGAAATGCAGGATTGGGGAATTGACATTTGCTAGTTTGTGGTAAATCCACCCTCCCTCCAGTGCCACTGGAAGGAGGAAAGTAGAAACATGGGTCATGCTTGTTTACTCCTGAAAAGGGTTATCCGAGCTGGGGTGTGGACAGGCGCGAAGCTGGCCCCTAAGAACCAGAACTGTGCTCTAGGCAGGTGGGCTTGTGTTCTATTCCTTCTCATGTCTGATGGCACCAAAGTCCCACGAATGAGGCTCTCAGTGGCCCTGATGCTGCCAGGGGGGAGCAGGGGCAGGCCAGGATGAACGTGGTGTGTGGTCCTGGCCGATCACCTTGTGGGTGTGGGTGTGTAGGTGTGTGTCTTGCACCGGGTTGGAGTCTGATGGTGGCTCTTACTCAAGGCTCAAATATTCTGAGGGGGTATTCCGAGTTGGCAGGTTGGCCCAGTCAGACTCACTGGATGCCCCCGCTAACCCTGGAGTTCCCAGTCTCTGCCGTGGTGGGAGCTCCCCACCGCCACCCGGCCCTGCTTCAGTGCCCTGGCTAGAAGTGTGTGTGCGTGCTGTGAAGCCCCTGGCAGCTCCAGGCTGGTGACAGTGAGCTCTCTTCTCCTTCCTGCAGAACATGCCAGTCATGAGCTGTGGCGTGACCCACGCAGCCCTCGCTGGTGGTTTTGAGTGCCTTGGCCACCTAGCACCATGCTCCCCCGCTGCAGCTCTGTGCTTCCCGGCGCCCTGGCTGCCCTCCGGGACAGCCAGCCCAGCCTCGGCCCAGCAGAACAGTTCGGCAGGGCTCATGGCTGGGTGGGCCTTCAGGAAGGGAACTAAATCAGAATCCTGCCTCGTGCAGACCACAGGGCCCGTGGAGCCTTTAGGTATGGGAAGTTAGATGGTGCCCGCCTCTCCATTCTTCCCTGTGCGTCAGTAGGATCAAATGCACAGCCAGCCTTTTTTTTTTCTTAGATTCCCAGTGGCGCTCAATTTCACCTCTAATCCCAGAGAGTGAAGGGAGTGAGGAGCAGCAGCTAGGGTCTCCCCCACCCTTCAGGTGGTCCCTGAGCACATGTGACAAGGAGAGTTCTGATAGGGAGACCTGGGCCCTGAGCATGGGTGCAGGGGCCCCTCAGGAACTAGCTGAGAGCCCCCTCTGCCTGGGCCCAGCACAGAAGTCCAATGGGATCTTGGCAATGAGGGGAGTGTGTGTGTGTGTCTATATGAATGTTCCTCCAGGTATTGCAAGGGCAATTCCTGCTGCAGGAGAAACTGCCTTCCGTGTTGTTAGGAACTGCTTTTCCCTATGAATGGGCCTCTGGGTTCCTCCCCTAGGTTGTGGGAATTCCCTTGAGCTCCCAGGGCTGCAATTCCTGGGCCAGGGCCGCCCTCTCCTGGGCTCTTGTGGGAGCTTCCAGAGGAGAGGATGTCATGCAGGCATTGGGCCAGCAGGGGGAGCCTGCGGACTGAGACCGGATTTCTCTAGCTTGGCCCAATTAACCCATTTTGCAGAGCTGTTTCAGTAAGCCCAGGGACTCAGAAAGCAAGGAAGCTGGAAAGCACGGTTCCGAGAAAGATGCTGCGCCAGCCTGGTGTTCCAGGAGCCGCAGGGATGGTTTGTGGCTGTCCTGTTTGCTGAGCTCAGGGCCTCTCCGCCTCGCTGTTCTCTCCTCTCCATCTGGACTCAGGTCTAGCAGTCCCGCAGAGCACTTGCCCGCCCTTGAAGATCCCGGTATTGCCCCCCGCAGTCCGGTAGTGGCCAGAAGGACCCGGAGTTCCACAGGTATAGCTGCTGCTTCTGGGACAAACCCGCAGTCCAGGTGTCCAGGGCATTATGAGCAGAGGCAGTGACACCTGAATGTATAGCGGCCCCCAGGCCACCACCACCGTAGCCCACATCCGATCAGCGCCCCCCCAAGAGGAAATTGGGGAGGGGGCACAGTTGCTGGCTGCCCTGGGAGAGGGCTGTGCCTCTCAGAGTGTAGCTGGGAGCCTTTGGTAGTTTTGCTACTGCCAATCTGAGCAGAATCCTAAGCTAATTTTTAATTGCTGATTTACACAGGGACAGAGATCCTAAGTCAGGATCTGTGTCGTCTTGTGTCATAAGCATACCTTGCCTGTCTGTTTTTGTCCATTTTCTTTTCCTTAGTAAAATTTGGCCCTCCTTCCGCCCCTGCCGTGATCCTAAATTCCTAAACATGAGGGAAATGAACCTAATTTATTAAAAGAGAGAAAGCTTTCCTTTGAACCATAAACACTTTCAGGAGTGAAGACTCCCGAAAGGGGAAGCACACTTCTTTTAATGCCAGTAAAAACCTCCTTTATTTCACGTCTGTAATCTGATTTGCACGTGTACAAATGGAGACACTGTTGCATTTTTGCCTGGATTGAGTTTTCGTCACTGCTTTAGTTTGCTTTTTGTGTGTGTGTGCTCCGTGTTTTGAAATACTAAGAGTGTTTCTTTGATATTTATTGTTTCTCTGATGTGCCTTTTCACTTTTCTTTGGGGTTGGTTTTTAGAATCTGGGTACCATTTAAGGAAGACCACAGATCCTCCAGCTTGAAGGTAGGACACACCCTTGTGTCACCGAGGATGCTCAGCCCCCTAGGCCACAGCATATGTGCTCGTGCGCCCCCATGAGGCCAGGAGAAGGGCTGGCTTCCTCCCAGGCGGCTCCATGTCTTCGGATCTGAGGAGTGCTGGTCGCCAACGTGCCAACAGGCCTGTGCCCCCCGCAACTCAGGCACCCGGTGAGGTGTGGCCTGGGGCACAGGACCAGTCCTCAAAACACTTGATCTGACTACCATAAAGGGGAAAGACTATGCACCCCTGTTGTTTCCCTAGGGAACATGGGGTTTATTTTAGTAAAGGTGATAAAACTATATGCTGTGTACAGGTGGGTTTGTGCTTTTGAGACCAAAGCAGGCCATCCCCTTTCTCCAAGGTGGTTTACCTAGACTGTGTATATAACTGGGACAAGTACCACCCTTTCTCATGCCCCCAAAATCCTTGATTTAAAAAAATATATATTTTGTTAACGACAGGCTCGGTTGCGTTACCATCCCAAGCCTGGATTACTTTATTTATTTTAAAGTATTTTAATTTCCACATTGGCTTCGTTCTAATCCCATCCATCCCTGTAGGGCTGCAGAGCATCTCCGTGGGAAGAGCTGGATGGACAGAAGTAGATTCAGACTTCTTTAGTGAGGTGGGGATTTCCTAAAGCTGAGGGTGAGTTCTTTCATTCCTGTTGGCTTCAGCAAAAACTGGAAACTTATGTTTTTCTAGCAAAAGGCCAAATTAGTTGTATAGTCTCAGATGCAGACAAAAATTACCCTAGCTTTTCTTAGCACTTAAGGTTTTTGTGAGGATTCAGTGTTTAGCCGTGTCTAGCACATAGTAAGCCCTCGTAAATGTTAAATATTGTTATTAGCATTTCATAAAATTTGAGAAAGAGCTAAGTAATACCTCCATGAAAATACTCCTCCAAGTTGATGGAATGCTGTAGGAATTTCTGGTTTAGGATGTCTAAGTGCTATGCCCATCTTGCTGGCCGAAATGTTACTGTATCCCTGAATGCACTGACTGATTTGCAAATATCCCTGACTTCAGCCCCAGATGGAACTAGGCTGTAAGAACGTGTAAACTGGAGATGAAAAGGGTGACCCACATGCTGGACCTCACCCCACTGATGTCTTCTGGACCATGCTAGGGTTCTTCTTTGTAGAGCTTTTTGAGCTAGAATTAAAATAAGTTCTCTGACAGACTGTACCCCTTAAATCAAAGTTAACTATATTCCTCTGAAATGAAATAATAAAGACTTTGTGTGTTGTTTAAGGAGAAAGGAATGGCCAGTTGAACTTTGTCATTCCCCCCAAAAGTCCCTTTGCTATTCCCTGCTGGCCGGGGCGGCCCCTCCACACTCCAACCCACAGGGATCAGACCCTGGGCTGGTTAGCGGTCACATGTTTGTTTTGGCCCCATTCCCTGAAAAGACCCCTCCCCTCCCAGGCTGGCTTGGCTACCCTGTGGACCCCAAGACTAACCGCTCAGGTGGAGCTATGGTGGGCACGGAGGTTGGGGGGGATACAGAGTTTCTTCAGAACCACTCCCAAGAGGCTACTCAGTGATGTTTTCCCAGATCACCTAAATATCAGTTTGCTTTTTGTTTTATTGGGGTTTTAGCCTCTTTCTTCCCTGTTTTAGAGTTTTATCTTCTGTCTTGGCACTAATATGGATAGACTGCCATTGGGAATATGGAGGAATTTGCTGGAGTCCGGGGTCTTTCTAAGTTCCTTTGGATTCTTTAGTGGAATCAATTAGCAGTCTTATATGTTTGTGGGTGTAAGATTGGAATTTGCCTTCTTCAAAGCATCGTTCCCTCTAACCCCAGATTCTGTGGCGCCTTGGGGACCCCCCCGGCAGCTGGTGAGGCATGGCAGAGGGCAGCTCTGTGCTCCTGTGGTGGGGGGGCCGTGTCGGGGGACGGGGCAGGTGCTCAGGCAGGTGGGCAGTGCCGTAGGCCTCGAAAGCCTTGCTGGAACAGCAGGACGGACGGGACCATAGCGTGGCCCGCCACCTCCGCCAAAGCCAGGAAGGAACAGACCTGGGAAGCATTTTGCTGGCTGTCATGCCCGAGTGTTCCCGGGACGCCAAAGGAGCAGGCGCCATCCTTCCTACTGTAGTTGCTGTCACAGCCTTGATGTCCTTACGCTAACGGCCGTGTGCGTGTCTTCAGACAGCTCCTGGTACAACCATTTTCTGCTGTTCACTTCCGGGGTCACGTAGTGCAGGATTCTGCAAATAAGGTGTCGCTGTCCAAACGTACTGTACCTGCATAGAGAACACTGCTTTGTTTTCCAATGTTGTAGAGAAAACTAGGGAGAACTTTATTTTTCAATAAACTTTTGTTGTGTGACAGGTGGCAGTGGTTTTTGGGGGTCTGGGCTGGGTGCAGGGTCACCTACGGAACAAACTCAGCGGCATCCCCCAGTGCCGGCACCCACTGATGACGGGTCACCATTTGCAGACCCCCTGCGGGAAAACGCTGATGAGAAGGTACGTGTCAGGAGTGGGGAGGGAAAGGTTTTACTCTCGAGTGGTCTTTCCCTTATGTGGCATCCACCGATACTCATTCCAGAGCACTCCCCCTGTCCTGCATTCACCTACATGGGAACGGAATTGCACAGAGGACTGGTAGGCTTTTTTTTTTTTTTGCAGGGGGTGGGTTGCAGGGAGATGCCCTGGAAAGAAGGAAGGGCACGTCCATGTCCACCCCAAGGGCTTGTCTGAGAATGTTGGAGAGCGATGGCCAGCCTCTCGGAAGCCAGCAGAACTCCTGGCTACTGCCTGGAATGCAGATGCCATGCAGTTCCCATCATGCATCTGTGGAACACACGTCCCACAAAGTGCCAGAAAAAACTGGAGTGTTTACGTTTGGCAGCGGCGGGGGGGTGGTATTACATCATAGCTTCCCCTCCCAAAGTTTCCACATGTGCTAGACACAGAAATGAAATGTACTGAATCTTGCATTTCCCAGACCGGCTCATAGAGTCGACCCTTTTTTCATGTGACCTATTAACAAACATTCCCATGCAACACTCCTCAAAATGCTGTCTGAGGAAGCCACACGGGACGTGTCAGACTGAATCAAGGTCAGTGATGAACCACCTCCACTCAGCGAGCCAGAGACAGCCCCCTAGGAGCGGGGGCATGGAAGGCACGGGCGAGGCCTGGGGAGCACCATCCTGCAGTCCCAAGCACCAAATGAATGTGCAGCCCCCCTCCCTCGCAGGGCCTGCAGCGCCCATCAGGACAGTCCTTCAGGGTCTCCCCTCACCACCTCCCCAGACCCAAGGGACCCCATCCACGGCATCCTTCATACACAACAGAAAACCTGCCCAGGACAGTGAGAACGCGCAAGATAACCTCCCCGTACCATACAAAACAGGTGAAGGTCTTTATTGGTCGGACACCATCGCCTGGACGAGCAGCAGGTCCAGAGGCACAGAACCTATACCTAACGTTACAGAAACAGGGAACATCGCGTTCCTTACAAAGGGGCAAGCCATCTCTAGCAGACTGGGACGTAACCATTTCACACAGCATAGAGATCTATGCACATATGGATAGATTATATAATTATTTATTACAAATAAACTGTCGTTTCACATCTCTCAAAAATGGATTCTGTTTTTACATGTAGGTTCAGCTTCTGAATGTACAAGAAATGGTCATGTGCTCAGTTCAACCATGCAAAGCTCATACATGTGTCACTAAGTACTTTAAAAATAGAATGGTCTCCTTTTGGACAAATCTGTTTAGAGTCAGGATTAGTAAAACAGTATGAAACTAATGAAATACCTTGATAGAAATTAGGAAGTGATCTGTACTGATGGTTCTGGGCATGTCAAGGGGCGAGGGACAAAACGTACGGTCTTCCCTTAAAATCTGCCAGGAATTAACAGACTCTGGAATGGGAGGTGGCGGGGGCCACCGGGGGTCCAGAGGAGGTGGGTCGGGTCAGTTGCTATCCATTTCAGGCTTAGAGCACCACAGAGGAACTTTCTGCCAAGGAGAGATCTTATCTTACCCACAAGAACCTTTTTTACTGCAGAAAACAGAAAAGGTCAGTTCTCGCTGGAGGTGGGGAAACCTGTCCCCACTCCTGTGCGGGTTGTCCTAACACAGTTGATGGGGGGAGGAGTGCAGACTGACCTGCCGGGCAGACCTTGTTCCCATGAACACAAACTTGCCAAAAAAGAAATTGGATGTTCAGTGAAATATTGGCACCATCTGCCTGTGTGGAAACCTCGTGGTCCTGACGGTGTTCGTGCGGATGCACAGCAGCCGGCTTGGGCCCCACTGGCCACTGTCACTCAAACATCTCGTAGTGGCGAGTCTGCCTCACCCGGGGCACCATGTCGATGAGGAGTCTGCAGGAAGGAAACACAAGTCACCCCCACAGCCCTGGGGCTTGAGTGCTTTGGGAAGTAAGCACAAGGCTTTCTAAAAACTACCATTTATATACCATAAAATTCAACCTTTTAAAGTAAACAATTTAGTGCGTTTTAGTATATTCGTAGGTTGTACAAACCACAACCGCCACCTAATTCCAGAACATTCTGTCACCCCAAAAAGAAACCCCATGGCCACCTGCAGTCATTCCCCATCCTCCCCTGCAACCTGCTGATGTACTTTTAGCCTCTGCTTTGGCCTCTTCTGGATATTTCCTCTACATGGAATCACCTAACATGTGGCCTTTTCTGACTCGCTGCTTTCATTTGGTACCGTGTTTTCGAGGTTCATCCATGTGGCCTGAGGCAATACTTCATTCTTCTTAAGGCTGCGGAATACTCTACGGCTCTACTACATTGCTCCATTCACCAATTTAATAGACATTTGGGTTGTGTCTGCCTTTTGCCTACCATCAGTAATGTTGCTGTGATCACTCGTGCATGAGTCATTACGTGGATGTGTGTGTTCATTTCTCCGGAGTGACACCTGCTGGGTCAAGTGGGAACTCCAACGTTGAACACGGTGAGGAGCTACTCTCGGGTCTCCACAGCAGCCGTCCCATTGTACATTCCCACCAGCAACGTATGAGGGTTCCCCTTTGCCCTCATCCTGGCCACCCCTGATCGTGCATCTTTCTTACTACAGCTATCCTCTCGGGAGGCAGGGAGCGCTTTAACAATTAAAACCTCAGTGCCTTTCCGAAAGGGCTCTCGAAGGCCGACCCCAGCCTGGACGCTGGAGCAGTCAGTGATTGCACAGCACTGCTTCAGTGAGAGGACTCAGGCTGGGTTTAGCCTCAAGTGGGGCCCTTCTGCAGTGACTCGTCCCTTTTGGAGAAAATTCCCTAAGTGGGGTCTGGCGGAGTGGTGCTGCTGGGCAGGAGGAGCTTGACCTGTGAGGACACCACACAAACGTGCCTCCCCAGTGTGTCATTATGATCCTCGGTAGAGAGAAAGGAAGGGGCACAAAGCTTCACGCACAAAAGGAAGACCACAGAGTGAGTAAAAGACTGCCCACCTCAAAAACACTGGGCCCCTGCTGGGGGCATTTCTAGTCCCCTGACCTCACCCGGGCTCAGAGGGGTCACAGGGGCAAAGTGTGACGGTCAGGAGTGGCAAATGGAGCACTCGTGGCCCCTGGGGAAGCGAGGACAAAAGGAGAACTTACTTGACCCCGTAGGCAAATATGGTGAGGCCGATCAGCACACCTATGCTGCCATCCAGGTACCAGACCGCCGCGTTATGTTTGAACACCTCCGCACTCAGAAGAATGGAGAAGCCCATCACGCCGCCCACGAGGGAGTTAAACCCTGGAGAGAGAGCAAGGAGAGGCTGAGGGCAGGGCCAGGAGAACTTTCTTAACCACCTGTGAGACTCCCCACATGCCAGGCATGCCTCCACATCCCGGGCTCCCATCCCTGCTGAGTCTGCAGGGTCCGGGACAGCGTCTACACACGGGAGACATTCAAGTCGCCGAGGACAACTTAAATGGCGGCAGGGCCAAGGACCGAGCCGGGATCTTCTCAACCCTATGAAGTCCGATTATGATCCCACTTGGCCAGTGAGAGCGCTAGGTCAAGCAGAGTGACGTGAAACGCCATGACCGAAGGTGACATAGATTGAGGGCGGGGCTGGGGACTCTCCCTGCACCCCCCATTCTTGGCCTCCAGAGTCTCCCCATCAGCTGAGGATTTTCACTCTCTAGGAAAGGAAATGCTAAGTCTAAGACTTTGCGACAGGGTGGCAGAAAAGGCAATCGAAACAGGACTGGCACCAAGAGGTACTGATCAGCCTCTCTCTCCACACAGGGCACCTCAATGGGTCCCCACTTCATTTGACCTGAGTTTTCAAAGGCCACATGGGAAAGAACAGCTCAGAATGGCTGCTGGGGGCCCACCAGGTATGAGCCGCAAGAGTCCTCGCCTGCCCCCAACACGACAGCGGCCCGGGGAGACGCTCGGGGTCCACACACCTCCCCCGCAACAGGCCCCCCTGCGGTTCCAGGGCAGCTACACCTGCTCCCCTCCAAGGTGTTGGTGCCGGCTTCGAGCACGAGGCCTGGGACCAAGCCACCTCATGTTCATACGTAGGGGGCTGGACGCTGAGGAGAGAGGTTCTAGATGAAGAGCAGGGGAGGGTGGCGTCGAGTGAAGCCTGGTCCGACCCCTTTCTCGGGACCCAGGGTTGGACTCTGATACGCTGCTCCCCAATAACAGGAAGCAGCTGGACCTGGGCCAGCAAGGACCAATGGCCTCTGTCTGGGACCTTCCTCTATTCCCTCAGGTCTGTCCTCTCCCCATGCCAGCTCTCAGCTGATGCCATGACCCAGACCTGCTTAGAGCACATAGGTGCAGACAACACGACCTCATCTTCCCCACACCAAACCACCACCCACCCTGCCTGCTACCCCTGCCCCCCTTCTGCAGCGCTGTTCCTGCCTGTAGCCAACTCCTTCACCTCTGTTCCTGGAATTCGGTTCACGCTCCTGAGGCATCCCCCTAGGAGAAACCGCACCTCCCCACCCCCCCCAGTCTCCTCCCTGGACCTCCTGGCACCCCCACCACAACCCCGGCTCTGCTGCCCTTCATACATCTCCCGCAAGAGCTGTCTCCCCGTGCACCTCCCGCTCTCCTCACCCCTCCCACTCCAGCGCTACCGCCCTGAGGTCATCAGGGACCAAGCTGCCACCTGCCCAGGTTCATAACCTGCGCTCTTCGCATGGCTGGCTGTCCTCGTTCCACTCCAGCCATCCCGTCCCTGTCTTCGCTGCTGGGTCCTCCTCTCCCCTGGGGGTTCCCCTGCACAGTGGCGGGAACTCGCCTCCACCACCCCTGCCTCCGCCCTCCCCCGGGTGAGTGCCTGCCCTCCCCACCCCAGGGTCTCTCAACTTGCTCTTCGGCCCGACCTCTCTGCTGAGCTGCAGACCCACTCAAAAGCATCTCGAACTGAACATGTTCAAAGCAAAAATCTCAATTTCTGCCCCCAAACACCTCACTCTCTCACGACCTTCTCTGTAAATGCTGCCATCCACCTAGCTGCCGAGGCGAAAAATCGAAGAGCCCATCCTTGACATCTCTCACACCCAAAATGTCACCAATCCCAAGCGAACCCATCTGTCAAGTGATCTTATCAGCTGTTGCCTCCCAAACTCCATCTGCCTCTCACCACCCAACCCCAGGGCACCTGCCCCTTGACTATACTCCTGCAACAGCCTCTCAGCACTTGCTCTGCTTCCCCCCTGCCCACATCTCCCTCCCCCGCAGACAGCAGCTGAAGGCCTCCAAGAAAAAAGCTGCTCAATTTTGGGTCACATCCCAACTCTTCAAGGCTGACCCGAGCTGCCGCGAGCAGCCCCTCCTGCCTCGCCCGCATCACGCACTGACCTTCCCATCCACTGCGCTCCCAGCACACCCCACCTGCCGCCGCCACCCCTGGTCTCCCCCGCGGCCTCGGGACTCACCCCCCGCCCCCGTCAGCCCACACCGCTCCTCCCGGGGTCTCCCACGCTGCCTCCTTCCCAGGCTGAGCCCTCAGAGCCCTGCAACCCATGCACACCCTACCTTCTCATTCTTGCTGTTGTTTCTTCCCCAGAGCTCTTCACCTCCTAACGTGGTATTTTTATTCTTTTTCTTTTTACAAACATCTCTTTCTTCCCCGCTGGAGACATAAGCTTAAGGACAGGGCTTTTGTGTCTCTCGCTGTATTCCAAGCCCCAGAACGGGCTGGCACTTCTCAGGGGCTCAGTGGATGACCACATTAATTAATGAATTAATAGATGGAGGGAAGGAGGCCCTGGAACACGGCTTCGGCTGTGCTAAGAGGGCTCCTACTGAGCAGCGGCTGGGCTGAGCTGACCCAAGAGAGAGGAAGCCACCCCTGCAGGGCTCCGCGGGCCTCCCAGTCCAGGCAGGGTCTGTGGCCGGGGCCCTGGAGAGACTGCCTCTGAGGGAGGAGGTTTAGAGCCATTCACTCCTCAACTACAGGTTGGAGCCCGAGACTCCCTGGAAAGTCAACCTCCCCACTCCCTTCTCAGGGCTGTTCAAGGTTCACACCTGAAAAAGGCTTCCAGCCCAATTTCACCTGGGTAAAAGTGGTGGGGACTGGGAAAGGCAGACATCTCCACTTTCCTTCCATCTGGGGGCCACATCCTCCACCGGCCAGCCCAGGGAACCTTGGGGAGAGGGAGGCCAGGACTTGCCGGGAGCTGGGAGCTAGTGAGGCCTCTGCCAGCTGTGGCCTCTCCCCGCACTCCCATGTCTAGCTGGGCCATCCTAAGAGCTTGTCCTAGGTGCCCCAGAGGCAGCAGGAGAAGAGAGGAGAGGCTGAGTGGTGACCTTGGCTTCACCGGAGATGTGTCTCACCAGCTCCAAGTCCCAGGTCCAAATCTCCAAGTCTTCCACCTCTAAAGGTGGAGGCGAGGGACAGGCGGGTTTCCCACCCCGTGTTGCCTCCTGGCGTCCCCTTGCCCGAGTGGCCCCTGTGTGGTGGCTTTCTTTGGCTTCTCCATGCTCACTTAGCTCTGGACAAGGAAGAAATGGGCTCAGCATCCTTTCAATCGCCACTCTCCATGCAGCTCTGGAGCAGACTCTTCTAAAGCCTGTGTTTTAAAAGCATCATGGCCCACCTGCAGCCTTTTGTCACCGCCATGGAAAGCTCTGCACCAGCTAAGTCCGTCCCCGGCCCCAACGTGCGGAACACACTGGCCCTTTCTCCCTGACTACCCATGGTTTCATCCTCTGCAATCCCATCCTCGGTTCTGCCTCCACACCTCCCCCAGGAGGGGAACAGCAGGTCCTGAGAAGCGGAGGCCATATCTCCCTCCTGTCTTCTGATCCATCAGGATCCTCTTTCCCCTCTCCCATTTTGAGAAGCTGGCATTTACCCTCTTGCCTCTGGCAGTCCCTTGAGTCTTCCTGCCTTTTTTATACATGGAATCAGGACAGTCCTCTTAAAAAGGAAACAAAACAAAAAAACAAAGGCTCTGCAGCACACAGCTTTTCTCAGAAGGCCACCAAAAGCACTGGCCGAGTCCATTACTCTGTCCCAGGCTACCTGGGCTCGAGTTTACATCTTGGGCATTCTCAGTGTCGGGGGAATTTTAGAACCAAGGGGAAGACAAGGGGGAGCTGGCCACTGCCCGAGGGCAGCCTGGAATCATTTGCTCCCCGCTCCTCCTTTATCAGGGGCATGGCGGGGGGTGGGGGGTATGTGTGTGGCCTGGAGCCCCGCAGAGAAGGAGAAGCCGGGGAGCTGGGAGAGGCTGCAGAGAGGTGAGAGTCCCCCCGCCCGCCACTAGATGTCTGCTCAGCTCCAGCAAGTCACCCTGCTCCGCAGGGCCCACCCCCTGCACGCAGCTAGTTCCCGGGAAGAGCTCCCACTAGCTGGCCCCACTCACCTTCGCTGGCGACAGAGCCTGACACAGCTAGCTTCACCTCATCACCTCTCGTAAGCCCGCGCAGGAATGCAGGACAAGCACCCAGGGGCTAGGGGACGATTCTGTATCTGCCGTGCCACATCCTTCAGAATGGACAGCCTTCCCAGCCAGTCGTCCCACAGCAACCCCGAGCTCACAGCCCTGCGCCCCAGACCTCCCATCTTCACCTCCACAGCACACAAAGCCCTGTGGGTCACACACTTCTGGGCGCTACCCCCCCACCCCACCCCCGCAGCCTCACAGCTTGTTCCTGTCCCCTTGGTTAAAACCAGAGCTGTTGTAAAGAGTAAATGCTATTGTCGGTTTAGGAACGCAGTATCCTGTCAGAGGCTCTCCTGATTAAAGGCTCTCCCCGTCTGGCCTTAAGGACTAGGGAATGATCTGTATAATTAAGCACATTCATTTTATGCAGAAAGTTCTGATTGAAGTTCTTCATGTGCTGGAAAACCATCCCAGCCTCTTGGGGTTTCAGAACTTGAGGGAATGAGGACAGTGAGCCCAGGCCCACCCCCCCCCACTCAGTCAGATTTCCATCTGTCGCTGCAGGCCGCTCTGGAGCCCAGCTGCTGGCTCCTGGTTCGAAACTTCTCCCAGGACCTCTCCACAATCCCCCTCTGATTGGCACTCTTCACTTGTGCAAAATCATTCTGCCTTAAATAACACAGCCAGCTTTGGCCTAGTGCTGACAGCAAAAATCGCATGTTGACCGAATATTCAAAGCAACCAAACCAAGTTAGACAAGATTTACCACACTGCACGGCACAGAGTGGGAGTGTCTGGAATTTGCCCACACCTGGTGTCCCCCTTTCTCTGAAGGTCTGCTTCCCGGCTGTAAGGACACAGCCCAGCGACAAAGGCTGGTGGAGTCAGCCTGACCCAGTTCACGCACAGCTCCCGCGTGGGAAGGGCCACCGCCCCATGTGACGGATAAAGCCTGCCCTCCCTCCCTGCAGGGGAAGCAGTTTGCTGAACTTGCTTCCCTCCTGCAGAGAGTCTTGCCCCCAGCCCCGGGGCCAGACCATGAGAGGGGCATTCCCAGGGCAGCAGCCACAAGGGACGCCCTCCAGAGCCAGCCCCTCTGAAGACCCCCGACGTTAAAGATAGGCATGGCTCCTGAAGCCCATCCCGCCCCCACCTCCCAAAGGAGGGAAGGAGCGAGAGGAGATAGCTACACACGGTTCCCTACATCTGCTCATCAAAGCAGGAGTAAAACTGGGAGCCCGGACAACACACTTAGCAGGAGGCTGTAATTGGCGCTCCCACTAAGCAGGGGACTGTGGAGCTTGCCGACCCCCCGGGGGTCCCTAATGGGTAACAGGCTTGGGGATGGGGTACCCCGCTGCCTTTACTCTTTGTGATAGTGCTGTCTGTCCTTCTGTGTCTGTCTCTCTTGTCAGCCCCCAGTGACAATTCAACCCCGAGCCCTGCCCGTTTTACAAATAGTGCTGCCACGTCCTCAAGTGCCCCCCCCATGCTCCACCCTTCTGCCCTCACTGTGCAGGCCACCACCCGCCACCCCCACGGCTCCCCATACTTCTCCCGCCTCAGCTCTTCTTCCCCCCGCTCTGTCTCCCACCTTGACGGCCACAGGGCTCTTTAGAAAACATTGATCATGTCACCATGGGTTAAATATTTAAGAAAACATCCAGAATCCTACCATGGACCCGATGTCCGGCAGGATCTGCCGTGCCCCCTCATCCCATGTGCCCCTCTGATACCCCAGACTCTCTCCCACCACGACCCCCAGGATGGCTCCCCCCACTCTCTGCCTGTGGGTGGAACAGTTTTCGCTCAAACCATCCACTTCCCTTTGTCAAGACTCCTCCCTGGGGGCGCCTGGGTGGCTCAGTTGGTTAAGCGACTGCCTTCGGCTCGGGTCATGATCCTGGAGTCCAAGGATCAAGTCCCGCTTCTCCCTCTGACCCTCCCCCCTCCCATGTGCTCTCTCTATCTCATTCTCTCTCAAATAAATAAATAAAATCTTTAAAAAAAAAAAAAGACTCCTCCCTGGTTCAAGACTGTGATGGAAACACTGCTTGTGTGTAGCTGGTTTTGTGTGTGAAGATTATAGAGTCAGAAGTGAAGTTATTCATTTGGGTGCCTGGGTGGCTCAGTCGGTTAAGCGTCTGCCTTCAGCTCAGGTCATGATCCTGGAGTCCTGGGATCGAGCCCTGTGTCGGGCTCCCTGCTCAGCGGGAGGCCTGCTTCTCCCTCTGCCTGCCGTCCCCCCTGCTTGTGCTGACACATAAATAAAATCTTTAGGAAAAAAGTTACTCATTTAAAAAACCGACTTATCACCATGGTCTTCTCCACACACCATATAAAATGGGAGGGGGTGAGAAGGACACAGAAGCCTGAACAGAAGCTTAGTATCTGGAATATCTAACAGGAAGTAAGACTGCAGTCAAGGCAGGGGGCCCCTTGTTCTGGACCCCACGTTCATGGTGGGAGGGGCGGGTCTGACTGCTGGGTACACACCCAGGCTTCTGGGGCCGAGGCGGGGTGGGGTGCACCTCCTGGGTCTCCACTGCAGTCAAGGGAATAGATAAGATGTGGATGCTCTGCAGGCCAAGGGGCTTGGTGTCTTCAGGGCCTAAAGCAAGGCTGAAAGAGGAGCCCCTGGTGAGTACTCTCCGCTGGGAGCCTCCCCCAGGCCTGCCCTCCCGGACCCTTGCGTCCCTGGGAAGGAGACACGGAACCGCCGCTGGAGAAGCCACAGGCCAGCCAGGCCTCTGCTTCCTGTTCAGGCCTCCAGGCCCTGGCAGAGCCGTGTCCCTCAGAGCAACGGAACAGGACCTTGAAGGGGGCTGGAGAACCCACACGCAGACCCGGCTAATGCCGCCCAGCCTGCAGCTCCCAGCCGAGCGCGCCCTGGGCTGTCCATCCCCAGGTACAGGAGGACTCCAAGTCCAAAGGAGGCATTTCCTGTCCCGGGTTAAAAAACACCAGACCACAAAGATCACGGGGAACGAACACTCCTCCTCAGATTCTGGGTCTGCCCCCGAAGGGGAAAGGGCACCCATTCGGGCCGGGGTGTGACGGGACCCTATACTAGGCGTGGCTTAATGCAGTCCTCCCGGAAAGCCACGGTGTCTCGGTGGCTGGCAGAGCCCTCAGAGGACGCACAGGCCGTGGCCTCAGGCATGCGTGCAGCGTTCTCATGCGACGGAACCACGAGCTCTTTAGATCTGGCTCTGGGAGAGAGCAGTTCCTTTATACCAGAGAGGCTACCGAAGTGGCAAATGCACTTCTGGGGACCAGGCAGGAGGCTGCACAGCAATGGGACAGAAACCTGAAAGAGGTGGTTCGGATTCTGCTGGCCCCGTGCTCCTGCAGCACCGTGCTGTCGAGCAGCAAACCCAGGAGCTGATGCCGGCCGGGTCCTGCCTTCCCCCGGCCTGCCCTGCCCCTGGGTCCACCTGGGAGCTTGAGAAGCCAGGCTGGGCCTCCCATTGCTTAAAAGCAGAGCAGGGAAGAGGACGGCTCAGTCCCAGTCGCCGATCCTTTTACTGTCTTAAACAGCTTTTGCTGCTTAAAAAGCTTTGGTTCCGGGACGCCTGGGTGGCTCAGTCGTTAAGCGTCTGCCTTCGGCTCAGGTCATGATCCCAGGGTCCTGGGATCGAGTCCCGCATCAGGCTCCCTGCTCCGCGGGGAGCCTGCTTCTCCCTCTGCCTCTGTCTCTCTCTCTCTCTCTGTCTCTCATGAATAAATAAAATCTTTAAAAAAAAAAAAAAAAAGCTTTGGTTCCATATGGGCAAATGGCCTCCACGGCCCCAGGCAGCCCTCTCTTGTTAGGGCAGAAGCCACCAGCAGGCGCTGCAGGAAGTGGCATTTGAGGAAGGCCGGAGAAGCTGGTGGTCAAAAGGTCACATAGGAGCGCGAGACACTTCAGGGTCCATCTCCCCTGGACCCTGTGACGCTGTGTCCTGGCCTCTTGGGTTGGCCATGGAGGCAGCACCCAATCTCAGCGTGCCCCGCCTAGCCTGGGGCACTGGTATAATTACGGCTTCCTGGACTCCACCTCCAACTCCCAGAATCAGAATCTTCAGGGGGTCAGGCTCTGGAATCTGTGTTTTTAACAAACATCACAGGCTGGGGAGCCCTGATCCACCCTGTTAAGAGGTCAGAGTGGAGGTGATTCATGAAATTTATTAAATTCCCAGGGTACAAGACATCTGCCCTGATATGGGAACCCTGAAAATCATTAAACAGCCTGGGGATGAGAGGATAGTGAGGAACAGATTCCAAATTGTTGAGCTCTTCTGCAGGACAAGCAACTGAATAGCATCTTCCCTCACTGTGAGCTCAGCCCCCCAGAGATCAGGCATATTGGCCTTACTCACCATCTGTTATGAGTGCTCTGCTGGTCAGAACCTTCCCCAGCATAAACTTCAACACAGCCAGGATGCTGCAAAGGATCCCACTTAAAATGGAGACGCTGAACAGGAAATCATCCTAGGAGAGAAAGTTCCAGATTTCAACAATTCACCTCCCGCTAGAACAGATTATCTGCAAACCACTTGCCTTAAAGATCAGCTTTGTTCAAATGTAGTGATCCGAAGGGGTACGTGCACCCCAATGTTTTTAGCAGCAATGCCCACAATAGCCAAACTATGGAAAGAGCCAAGATTTCCATCAACAGATGAATGGATAAAGAAGATGTGGTATATATATACAATGGAATATTATGCAGCCATAAAAAAACAACAACAAAAAAAAAAACCCGAAATCTTGCCATTTGCAACGACGTGGGTGTAACTAGAGGGCATTATGCTAAGCGAAATAAGTCAATCAGAGAAAGACAAGTATCATATGATCTCATTGATACGAACAATTCTTAATCTCAGGAAACAAACTGAGGGGGGCTGGAGTGGTGGGGGGTTGGAGGGATGGGGTTGGCTGGGTGATCGACACTAGGGAGGGTATGTGCTATGGTGAGTGCTGTGAGTTGTGTAAGACTGATGAATCACAGACCTGTACCTCTGAAACAAATAATACATTAAATGTTAAAAAGAAGAAGAAGAAGAAGAAGAAGAAGATAGCAGGAAGGGAAAATGAAGGGGGGGAAATCGGAGGGCGAGACAAACCATGAGAGACTATGGACTCTGAGAAACAAACTGATGGTTCTAGAGGGGAAGGGGGTGGGGGGGATGGGTTAGCCCGGTGATGGGTATTAAGGAGGTCATGTATTGAATGGAGCACTGGGTGTCATAGGCAAACAATGAATCATGGAACACTACATCTAAAACTAATGATGTAATGTATGGTGACTAACATAATAAAATAAAATTTAAAAAAAAAAGACCAGCTTTGTTCCCTGAACAAATCATCAATCGGGTATGCTGCCACCAGGTGGGAGTATCTTGCTTGTTTTCATAGGTCAGTTACTTACCTGTGTCACTAGGAATTGGAAAATATGATCAAGAACAGATAATCCAGATTCATATTCCCTTAGACACTAAATATTCTTTTTCCTGTAGGAGATGCCCCTTCACACACTTCTGCCAAAATGTTTGGCAATCACTGATCAATAACGTAATTGGGTGGAATGCTAAAAACAGTGCATGCTATGTGCAGTTTTTCATAAATAATTCAAAAGCAGTTGGAGAATACGGGAACATGTAAGTACACCAACTGGACTAAGAACACTTCAACACAGAGCCTACTGAATTGGCCACAGGGTCAATCATGGCTGATGCTACTTATAACCATGTTTTTTCCTTAAATTCAAACAAGGCAATTAGAAGTTCGAATTTAGCCTTCAAGGTGCGGAAAAGGCATCTAAAAATAAAGTCTGCTATTGACGTTGTTATCTTAGCACTTCCTATAAGTTTTTACCTTAACTTCGCAAGAAAATGAATGAGTCACATACGCAAAAGCCAGCATCACCATCTCATGACATTAGGGCCCACCATGCTCCTCAGTCTGGAGCCCCCGTGCATCGCTCCCACGAGACACAGCCTCCAGATTCTCTCCAATATTAAAATGCACCTTCCAGCAGAAATCTGATAAAGCATCCCATATACAAAAGAAGTAAGATTCCTTAAGCATCTTATTACCCAAATTCACTAACCTAGTGCCAGAAAGCTGGGGAAAAGGAAGACAGCCTGTTTTCCTGGCTTCAAAACTGAATAAAATCATTTGAAAAATCACCTCCCTGGAAACAAGATATCTGCAAAGCATCAGAGCATCTCCCCCAGAATACTGATCTATGGTGGTTGGTCTTAACATATGTCCCCAGATCCTTTGCTAATCCTTCTTCTAGGAGGGGCAGCTGAATTCCCTCCTCCCTGAGTGTGGGCTGGGCTCATGATGGGTATCTAACAAGTAGGGTATGGTAAGGGGAAAACAGTAACTTTGCAGGGGAGAAGCCTGGCAAGTGATCTAAGCCAAGTAATCAAGATTAACGGGACCATTAATGAGTTATGCCGATATCATGTGCTTCCTGATATGACAGGACGTGACAAGAACAGGTCTTGGTGTTCTTCTACCCAAGAATCCATAACCTCATCTGAATCTTGAAAAAACACCAAATGAACCCACATGGAGGGACAGTCTACAAAATACCTGAGCAGTACTCTTCACACATGTCAAGGTCATGAAAGATAAGGAACAACCAAGAAACTGTGGCAGATTGAAAACTATGGAGACAGAGGACTAAATGCAACATGGTGTCCGGGACTGGATCCTGGAATGGAAAAAGGAATATTAAGTGGAAAATCTGGCAAAACTGGAGTGGAGCCTGGAGTTTTAGGAATAGCGTAGTAATCTCGGAGTTCGGGCAAATGTGCCCTGATTATCTATATGAGATGTTTAACATCAGGGGAGGCTGGATGAAAGATATACGGGAAATCTCTGTAATGTCTTTGTGACTCTTTTATCTAAAATTATTTCAAATTTTAAAGTTCTTTAAAATAATCACCTCACTGAATTTTATTATTATTATTACTACTGTTCTTATCATTTTCACCTCCTCAAATTATCAGTAAGGACTATGCCAGACCTAGCCTCTTGGCAGATCCTAAGTCCCTGCTGTGCATGAGATGATAAAGCAGGGTCCACGAGGGGTAGGGGTAGGGGTGAGGGCGGGCAAGGATCTCCAAATCACAACTCCCTTTGTGCAGGGACTCCCTCTAATCATGAATGTTGGCCCCCACAGGATATAATGCAATGTATCAACACAGACCCAGTTGCTGACAGGATTCAGAAAGCCTAAGTTGGGAGACTGACATAGTCAAGCACTTTGAGACCCCAAATTCAGAGACTGAATTCTTGCTTTGCTCAACCCCCACACCTGAAGCTTGATTCCATTCAATCTGTTGGCAAAGCCCTCATCCCTAAATTCCCAGATGTAGAGAGAGTCTGTGTTCACCCCATCTAAGTCCCAAGGAGCTGGGGTACCCCTATGCATCTTGAGAAGAGCCACTATGGCTTTAGCAATCCTCTCCTGGGTCTGCTATCCCAGGGAGCTCACTACTGGACAGGGGGCTTGGCTGAAGGGCAGTGATGCACCAGCAGACCTTTGCTCACATCTGGACTCCATTGCTTACTGGGGAAACAGACCCGAGCACTCAAATCTCAATTCTCTCTTGCACAGGGGTAGGGATGTGTGATAACCTGCAGCCCCTGGCAAGCAAATAATGTGCAGTCAATGTAGCAATTTGTGTTAAAGGGCCCAAGCACATGATCTATGCACTAACTTATCCCAGCAAACAGCCACACTAAGTGCTAATGGCGAGCCCCGAAGTATGCTAAGCACTCCTATAAAAGAAACGTCGGGAACGGATTACCTAGAAAAAAGTATGCATGGTGCAATGTAAAGAAATACAAGAAAAACTGTGAGTGGGACCCACACTGGCTCGTCAAGGCTTCTGCTTCAGATCACCCACACCACTGAGGCTACACCAGTGAGGGTCAAATGCAGTTCCGGTCCATCTCCAGGGCTCCCGTTGTCTTTGCTCTGCTTCACTCTATGCCCCATTTCCTTCCTTCCAGGCAGCCCTGCTCACTTCAGGGACAACAAACAGCCTGCCAGATGCTTCTGCAGCCACCACCAGCCTGTAAAGTCTCATCCCTGCAATCAGCAATAAAACCCTATTCTCTCCCATTTAGAGTGGTTCCAGTTCTCTGCTTGAACCTGCAAGACCACTTCAGAAGGATGCTTCAAGGCACTTAAAACAGTGCCTACCTGCTGAAGAAGGCCATCAAGAAGACCTGACTGCCGGTTGACCTGCAAGCTGGACCGGGCAACTGGAGGAGCCCCATCCCCCAATCTGTCCTTGGAAGGTGAGTTCCACTTGCCTTCCCCACTCCCAGAAGCTGCCCCAACGATACAGCCTTGAAAGAGAAATGTGCCGTTGGGGCTCTCTGGACTGGGTATATGACTGAACCCAGTTAAAACCTCTGGCTAAATTTTTAAGATTGGGTGGACAGGATTATGGAAATCTACTCATCTTGTGGCCAGCCAAAGCAAGCCTCATATATAAGTTCACTTGCTCATAAAACCTACCACCTACCAATCCGAAGTGGTCGTCCTCCTTCTTCCATCTCTTCCTGCCCTCCACATATGGGGGCCAATTTCAGATCACACCTGGGAAGCCCCAAGGAGCTTGTGAACTAACAGTTGGTGAGCCAGCCAGGAAGGAGACATCCATACGAGTTGGTCATCAACCTCTATGTGGGGAGGAGAGGCCCATTTATTAGATGCTTGTGGACTATTATGAGACAACAGGGGTGATGCTTTAACACCCCTGTGTGAGATCTGTGCACAGCGCACCGCAGCTCAGAAGAGAACAAAGGGTGCTACGGTGGGCTGGCCTCTACTGTGTGCAGTTCGGCTGGCCACTGAGGCCCCACTAGAGGCTGCAGCTCGGGTTCCGGAGTTGGAGGAAGAGCTGAGGATACAGAAGGACGGATGGTCGTCCACTACTTGGCCGGCTTCGGGGCTGGCCAACAAGGTGGGGGAGCAGGATCATCAGCTGGAGACCTTAGCGTGCCCTTCTGCAAAGCTAGGAGGGGTGCAAGGGATCTTGGATGAAGATCTGGGTACCTGCGACAAAGCCTGGTTAGGATGCTAAGCGGTGGAATCTCTGGGAAAGTGAGGAGAACGCAGAGGATTTGGTGGTGATTGGTGAGGAAACAAACCAAAGAGCCCCATGCCATCAACTTTTAATAGAAGGGAAAATTTTTTTAAGAAGATTTATTTATTTGACAGAGAAGGACACAGTGAGAGAGGGAACACAAGCAGGGAGAGTGGGAGAGGGAGAAGCAGGCTTCTCGCCAAGCAGGGAGCCCGATGGGGGGCTCGATCCCAGGGTCCTGGGATCATGACCTGAGCCGAAGGCACCCAGGCGCCCCTAGAAAGGAAATTTTTAAATAGCAATTAAACAAAACCCTCCTAGGAGAAAACTTGCCTTCTTTCTCTGTGCCTTTAAGTTGTAAACTGTATCATGCCT